AAATAAGGGATGTCCTAATACATAATCCATCATATACTGTTGATGAATTTTTGCTCTTCTGTCGGGATCAACAGCTAAGGAATAGAAGGGGAGTGCATGCTGACTGATGGATGTCCCACAGTAGGCATCAATATATACATTAAGTGTAAATATAATCTGCATTTTATGTATTTATTTTNATAAAAATATTTAACAGCCTGCCTTATTATTTAATTAATTTAGTACATGATAAAAAACAGTTTATAAAACAAATAAGGGATGTCCTAATACATAATCCATCATATACTGTTGATGAATTTTTGCTCTTCTGTCGGGATCAACAGCTAAGGAATAGAAGGGGAGTGCATGCTGAGTGATGGATGTCCCACAGTAGGCATCAATATAGACATTAAGTGTAAATATAATCTGTATTCTATGTATTTATTTTGATGCACACTGTTTGCATTTATGTTTGTTTGTTATTGTGATATGGCATGTTGGAATTGTAAAGATGTATTGTAGTTTGTAAAGGTTGTGACATGTTTCATATTCAGTGCAGATTGCACTTATGAATATCCTGAAACGCAGATGTATATATGTAACATCAGCTATTTGTAGACTTCAAGAAAATCTATGATTCAGTTTGGAAGGAAGTACTGTACAATATTCTGATAAGAGTTTAGGGTACCCATAAAACTACTTAGGCTCATTAAAATGTGTTTAAATGAAACACAGTAAAATCTGTATAGGTAAACATTTACCTAATAATTTTCCTATCCAGGATGGTCTAAAACAAGGAGGTGCTTTATCACCACTGCTTTTCAACTTTTGCTTAGGACATGCCATTACGAAGGTCAGGGAAATCCAGGTGGGACTGAAATTAAATGATACACATCTGCTGTTGTTCTATTCTGATGATGTGAATCTACTGGCTGATAATATAGATACCATAAAGAAAAGCACACAGACTTTAACTGACGCTAGTAAGGAGGTTGGTCTAGAAGTAAACACAGAGAAAACTGAGTGTATGTTGCTGTCTCATCACCAGAATGCAGGGAAAAATCATGACCTAAAGATAGGTAAGAGATATTTTGAAAATGTGGCACAGTTCAAATATTTGGGAATGACAATAACAAATCAAAACCCGACTCAGGAGGAAATTAAGAGGAGACTGAATTCAGGTAATGCTTGCTATCATGCAGTTCAGAGCCTTTTGTCTTCTCTTCTACTGTCTAAAAACATAAAAATCAGAATATACAAAACTATAATTTTTCTTGTGGTTCTGTATGGGCATGAAACTTGGTCTCTGACATTATTAAAATAGATCTTGGAGATAGGATGGTATGGATTGAATTGATCTGGCTCATGATAGGGATCAATGGAGGGCTCTTCTGAACACGGTAATAATTCTTTGGGTTTCATAAAATGCTGGGAAGTTCTTGAGTAGCTGCTCAATTGGCAGCTTCTCAAGAATGGCTCAGCTCCATGAATGACTGAGTGAATGGAAACAAGTATTTGTACTGTGGTATGTTCTCCATCCTTGGCTTTGGCTCATGAAGGTTCTTCGGAAAGTAGAGATCCCATTCTCGTAACATCTGAACGCAAACCATACACAGCGCATGCTTTTGAGACAACAAACACAGTCTTCCGTGCAACCAAAAATGTGATGTGTTACGCCTATTCCACCCTACATCAAACCCGAAACACAGAAAATGCATAACATAAAACTGTGACACAAAGTCCTGCCCTGGATTAAAGAATGCTTTAATGAATGCCATTAGTATGAGAAATCACTCAAGAAAAGGCTAGCAGTCATTTGGTCACAAGCAAATGACGAGTTGCGTGCACACATTACGTCTAATGATACACATCTTTGAAATGGTGCATCCTATAGCTGATTTATTTCTAAGCAATATCAGATTCCTTACACATACACAACCTCACGTCTTAGGTAATTTTATTCATACGCACCTTATAGGATAATAACTCCCCAATATCCATTTCGAAACAATTTTGAGTTTCGCATGGATCACAAACAGTAAATAACAGGAAGAGTAACTTTCTTCGTATTCTTCAAACTACAATGCTCATTAACAATCACCTAACATAAACACCGTTCCGCGGATATGCAGATAGATACAGATGCGGTAGATATGCATGTTGTGTACGATTGTGCATGTTCGTGTATGTTATTTGCTAGCAACAGAGCCGCCGTGACGTCACAAACGCATTATACTGTCATCTACGTACCCAGCTCGAGATATTCCTGCACTATGGCTGCAGCCACTGCCGAGAGCTCGGTCGGTTAAGTACATATAAAGTCCTGGTATTACTTAAGCACTATTCCATGAAGACGTATTGGGGAGTGGATGTATTGGTTCACTATTCTTGACCTCGGCACTGGTTAGAGGTGAGTGATCAGCTTCACGCCTCGGCCGCTTTTACCCCCTCTCCACTGCATAGGAAGATGGGTGGACCGGTATGGATGACGTGGAGAGAAGAAAAATCCTAGCCCTCCCAGGATCCGAATTCCGACCCCTCAGCCATTCAGCCCATAGCCAGTCGCTATACCGACTGCGTTATCCTGGCTCAGTCTGTGAAATTGGCACAAGGATGAGAAATATACATCATGTGGTCAACTTCTTTAAAGATTTACATTTATTCCAGACCCTTGTGTGTATATATCTGAAATAATACACCACATAAAACTACATATACAGAAACTGGAACAAACCAATACAATTACTTAATGCCAAAAATTAAACCTCCATGTTCAGTTTTGTTGAATGAATGCTCTCAACAAGGCTGTAATGAAAGCAGGAATTAAATTCTGTAATACAATACCAAATAAAATTATGGAAGTGGAAGAAATGGAGCAATTTAAAAGAAAACTTAGAACTCAATGCAACACATATTTTATTTCATAGATGACCTAATCCTTCCAGCCACACTATGGCTCTCGGGTCCACTCAGCCTCTAACAGAAATGAGTACAAAGTTTAAATTTAATAATTTTCCTGTGGAGTAAAGCACGGATGGTGCGTAAGGCTGACAACCTTACTGCCATCTTTGAGCCAACTGTCTAGATAATGTGGGACCCTCAACATCTCACAACCCTATGGGCCTTCACGGCCTGGTACAGGAATAGCTTTACTTTTACTTACTTTTTAAGATGAATCTGTCACTCTATAGCAGATTATGATAGTTGTTTTTATGAACTATATCTCTATTGTGTGGTAGTACAAAGGAACTTTGTTGATATGTTATTTTTAGGTATCTATATTAGACATATCCTATATCAATTGTTTGCCTTAAGAAAGATGAATAAAATTGTACTGAACTGTTATGTGGCAATGATCTCCCATTCCTGGGCCCTTGTCAATATCAGGAAAAGGCACTCACACGACAGGGCCACTGCATTGCAGGCAGTGTATTTCAAAGACATCACACAAAGCTGTAGCTCATCAGGAATCAGCAACTTGAAAGACAGCACTTTCATTTAGTTAAGACTAACTGAAACTGAAATGTCTCTCAAAGGACCCTTCAGAACACTGTTACAGCTCTTGCCAGTTTTCCAATAGCAATCAGAATTCAAAATGGGAAGACATCTCAAGGATGGTGACAGGTTGACATTATACTACAAGTGGGATTAATAGAAATCATGATCATTAACATACAGAGACACTGCCAGCACCAGACTTACTTTCTTGAATATCTGTGCCAACTAATCAGAACTGAGTAAGGTACCCCTGGTAAAACACAACGGGTCACTTAAGGTCACAGTTCAAGGGCTGGAAAGCCCACCACTTATGCATTCATTCAAGGTACCCCTGGTATCACTAGATACCTCACAACTTGGAAGCTCAGAAACAAAAACAACTGGAATGCTTAAGCAATTTGAGAACAGTGCCTACTCCAGTTTCTGACATGGTAATAAGTGAACACACTCCTCTTGCTCCTCTTAACATCCGGTAAAAACCAATTACTTTCCTGCAGAACGCTTATATTACTAATTCATAAACTGAGCTGAGAATCCAGACCTAGCATCATACAACTTTCATTTGTTATCAGTAGAGTGCCTATGAGGTCATCAAATTTCAAACTACAAACCGATAAAATGTAGCTTACAATAACACAATAAAATGAGTAACATAAAAATTGGGCCACACCATAGCTCAAGTGGTTAATCACTGGCTCCCCACTGCAACGGCCCAGGTTCGATCCCGGGTCTGGTCAAGTGGGATTTGTGGTGGGCAAAGTGGTGCTGGGGCAGGTTTTCTCCAAGTACTTCGGTTTCCCCTGCCAATCTTCATTCCACCAAATTCTCCATCACCATAATCACAAGCTAAAATAGGCCAATCAGTGGCCGCCGTGCTGAGTGGACCCAGCTGGACTCCACCCCCCACTAAGCAAATAAAAAAAAATTGTTGAAAATCATGAAATACCTGCTACAATAACTGTATACAGTGTGCTTTGCATTGTAACTACAGACCAGGATGTATGACCCGCACAGCATGCATGTATCTTTTTCTACTTGAGACCCCATATTTACAATAATGAGTGTAGCACGGGTGGACACCCAAGTGGTAGAATTACAAACTTAATTATATAACATACTCAAATGCATTTAGCTTCCATTCCTTCAGTTTATGAGCAATGTTACAATAAAATCATATACATTGTATGCACAGACCCTGTGTGCACGCACACATGCTAGCTTTTCCATGTGTGTCCAATTACAATAAATTAAAAACTGCTTAAGGCATTATCATGAAATTTGATTTGGGGGAGTTCCATTAAAACTTGCGAATACATTCCAATTTTGGTCACATATTTCTGCATGCATTTCAAGCTGAACGTTTATTCAAGCACAGATTTTTTAAACAAAAGTTGCAGAGAATAAATACACATATTAGTCTAGCACACCTTTTCCATGTTTTAAATAGTATAATTAAACAAAAGGACATGAGTACACAAAATTGTTGTGTTGTGTGTACATTTTCAAGCTTGTATATTCAACAATTAAGAACGGCCTTCCAAACGTATGCAATTAGTGGTCTCCTATTATAGATAATTAAACAAAGATCCCTCCCTCCTGAAGGGCTATTGTGAACACGGTAATGAACATTCGGGTTCCATAAAATGCTGGGAAATTCTTGAGTAGCTGCAGAATTGGCGGCTCCTCCAGAAGGGCTCAGCTCCTTGAGTAAATAAGTAAGTAAGTAAGTAAGTAAGTAAGTAAGTACGTAATAGAGGATCAACAGCCTTTTTCTTCTTTGTTCTTATATAATTCTTTAATAAATTCAATTTATCACAAACTTACTCATACAAATATATTACTGTAATTAATGAATTAATAACTCTGATTTAATAAGGAATTCAGAATAATCACATATACTTTATCAGAACCATTCATCACAACTAGCAACATCATAAGGCACAAACAAACTGAAGAAAGTTTAATACTATAAATATGCACTCACTGGAGGGGGGATATAAGGATTGCTATGTTTTCATTTTATTTTCCAAGTGTAATACAACTTATCAGCAATTCTATACATTTTACAAAACCTTCTATGTACAGACTACATGATTAATGGTTAATGCTGTAATAAAGAGGTCGGTAATCTTCAGGGCACTAAGTTATTACATTCTCACAGTAAGAGAACAGAGAAAACTCTAATACCTAATTAACATGTGGAGAAACAGGCTGATATAATCTGGTCTTCAAACCTTATTTCATCTATCAAACCAGATTTGGTGTTATGGACATACCATCATGCCATGTTTGCATATATATTGTGTATAATACATGACAAGCAGTTAGTATAAATTACACTACTATTTATTTTTTCTACTGGTGAATCATATTTAATAGTGATTAAGACTACCCACGAAATTATGATTATAATTCCCATTTCTACTGGGTAAACGTTATGTGGAATACCAGCTTGTTATACTGTTTCCCAGTGAAAAAATCATACATACTATTTTATAAAAATGACATCACATTCAAGTATGGCATATCTGTTAAAAGTGACTAATAATTAGATTAATGCTTCAGTGAGGGTGTAGTGATGGTGAATTGTCCACCACAAATAATTTTTATGTACAATTTGACTACAACTGTAATCTGTGAAAACAGAATATACTTATCTCTCAATTATCCACAACAAGAAATGGCAGAACAGCACAGAAAAAAAAGTCTTCTGGAATGTGACCCCTTGTAGTTTGGTAGATAACCAAAGTTCAAGAACCTGTAGCTTCCATATTCAGTGTACAAGGGACCTACCCTGATGTCAGATGCAGCAAGGTCCTCTGGAGTGTTGCCAACTATTTATCAAACCATGCAGCCTCGCAACCAACAAGAGCATAATCTTAAAAAATACTCATATGTAATCTACTTTGGAATTATATGCAGCACATAGTTTCTTACAATGACTCTGAGAGTACACAATACCAGTTGGCCAGAAAGTGGCACATTTCTTGTCCCAAATATCTGAGTGCTCTTTCAATTGACAGACGACCAGATGACTAACTAGTCCATTTTCCAGAATTACTGCTATTCTTCAACTCCAGTTTTATCTGGTACATCTGGCAAGAACCTCATAACCACAGTATGCACAGCCAAGTTCAAATCACTGTTCATTGTTCTCAATTCCAGTATTCTCATAACCATTTGCTTCCTCATCAAAACCCAAGCAACTACTTTTGTCTCTGTCACTGAAAATATTTTTTGTGCCATAATCTTTTCATGGTAATCATACTGTTTACCAGATCCCATACCTCTGTTACTATGAACAGGTACCTAACAGTGTTAGCTCTTTCCAGCATATTTAAAGGTTGGGCTGGTAAAGGATGCAGAAAGTTAATATCACTGATGCAATGTAAAATAAGGAATATTTTAATGACATACTGATTTGCACAATGCTGTTCTGTGAGCAGGTACACAGAAGTGGTTTAAAAGAAGATCAAGATGGCATATCTAGATACACTGCAATTAATTTGCAAATAAGATAATTCTTTTGTTGATAATGACGAACCTGCTGTACTATTCAATGTGCCAACCCATTATAAGCCAGGAATGATTCAGAGTGACATGAATTCAGTCATGCAAAAAAACATCAGCCTAAAATAATTACTCCATGAACTTAATCTAGAGAAACTGTCATATAAACTTCTTTTGCAACTAATT